CGAAAGTTACATTTAGCTTATCAGTCTCATTCATACATGTTTTCTTATGCCTTTTGAGATCTTTAGTGCCTCCAGGCTATAAGCAAGGGAGTTGGAACACTTTTTTTAATGGTTTCAAGAGCTACAGATTTGAGGAAAGTATCACTTCTGAAACTTGCTATAAAATCACAAGTTAGCAGATATACACAGGTCATGTAGATCTAGCTCAGCCTTATTTCTTATGCATCTTCCTTTTCAAAGATGAGGAAAATCTTTAAAAGTGCTAAGATAAAGGCAGATACCTTGCTACTGAATTTAGGTACTTAGGAGAAGGTCAGGTACAATAATCAAGTGCCTTATAGAATGCCTTTCACTTTATGTTGCTTGAAAAATGCTTTAATTAACTTATTAGCTGTCTTAGAATTCATATGGGCACCTCTCAACTTCATCACTGGTGAAGTGAAATTCTATGATACCATCTGTCCAGCTACATCCAGCCAAATGGTCTCTGGTAAAATGGACAGCTTTATTCTTCGACAAGGGTGACATGTCCTTCAGATCTTAGGAAAATTTCTTCAGCTTCAATTCTGCTAAAATGAAAGACCAAACCTGAAAATAGTACCCCTAGTTTCTCCGGTGTTGTATAACTGCATCAGCTGCCTTGGTATCAGCACACGAACCTTGCATAAATTGATAGACTCCCTTCTTTTGGGCATTCTTTTTCTATTAGAAAAATAGAAACTCTCTCTAAGAGTAATATTGTTTGGGTTGACAGACTTCTGATGCCCATTTTTTGATAGTTGGGGTAGTAAATGAGCAGGCTTGAAGAAATTAAATATCCTTTGAGTCCCCTCTGCCTCTATGTGGTTGGAACTCAAGAGTGCAGATTATCTAAATTGCATTCAAGTTTTGAGCTTATTCTTTTGCTTCATTCCAGTTTTGTGTAAGGAACCATCAAGATTGATTTACTTGCTACAAATCAACGCAGTGCAGGTTCATGTTAATTCAAGTAATCTTTTAGTCTTTTCCTTCCTATCCAGAAAGAACTGCAGAAACCTCAAGTACTCTCTTTTTCCTCTTAGCAAAATAGTTGTTCTGTCCTCCATGAAGCAGAAAGACAGTTTCCCAGTTTTTCTGAGGTCTTTGTCTGAAAATTCAAGTCCTTAAGAGCTATGCAGCAAAGCCTTGTATGCATTAGTGAGCCTGAAGACCCTGACCAGCCTTTTCAGGGACCTTCACCGCAGCCTGCCCAGGAGATCTATTTCACATGCACCCGAGTCCTCAGTCCTTGCTTGAACTACGTCACAGATGTCCTGGTGTTCACCTACTGTTGATTCAATTTTCCTGCCATGAGCTTGAACCTGCCTTATCACCATGGTTCCACTGAGTGGTCACTGAACTCTGCCTGACTTGTGGTTACCTTCACCAGACCAGATCCAGACTCAAAAGGGTTAATTAGCTTCCTGATTTGACCTCAGATTTGTGTCATCACCATTAACTTGGCTGATGATCTGGACTGTTGGTTGAAACCTATCATGTTAGGATCTGCCTTACTTAGGATCTGCATGACTGAGCCCTGACTGGCAAGGAGCCTGTCCTGCTGGCAGTATTGTCATGCTTGACTCCCTGTTCCTCAAGTAGCAGCCAGACTTCAGTGGTCCCTGACACTGTGCTTGGTTTGAATCTTTTCTGTTGTAGCTTAAGACAGTTCATTTTCCTGACTTAGGATATTTCTGCTAGCACATTTGGCCTCCAGAGCAGTTTAGGAATTATCAGCATAGGCATTGGTTTTGTACAGCAGTATTGGTGTGATCCTTGTTTTGCAGAGACGGAAGCCTGGGGCTATATTCAGGAGCTCAGAACCTTTTTTTACTCCTCTGTATTTGTTTAGGTCCTGATCTCAACTTTTTTGTTGAGCAATATTTGTAAATCAGCTTATTGGCACATTGGCCAAGGCTGTAGAATGCACTTTACCTCTCTATAGCCTCTGTACCAGCCTTTCTGTCCCTTTTCAGAAATTCTTCTCTCCAGGTATTGCTTTAGCAGAAAGCCAACATATCCTGTTGTTAGGAGGTACTAAGAGGTCCTGTTTATGTTTGTCTGTATTCAGAGATCCTGCTGCAGCTATTTCCTTGTACAGGGACTTCATGAATTAAAGTCAGACATGCAGAAAAAAATCAAATTTAGAAGAATGATAGTAGTAAATTGCAGGTGGTTCAGGAAGGAAGGTGGTTTGTATCATGTAACTTTCTCCATTTCCTTTCCTGCAGTGTGACCGTGTTCACAGGGGTCTTAGGATGAGGGAAGAGATGACAATCTGACTCCATGTTTCAGAAGGCTTGATTTATTATTTTATGATATATATTATATTAAAACTATACTAAAAGAATAGAAGAAAGAATTTCATCAGAAGGCTAGCTACGAATAGAATAGGAAAGAATGATAACAAAGGCTGTCCAAGCCAGCTGGGTTGTGATTGGCCATTAATTAGAAACAACCAACATGGGCCAATCAAAGATCCACCTGTTCCATTCCACAGCAGCAGATAATCATTGTTTACATTTTGTTCCTGAGGTCTCTCAGCTTCTCAGGAGGAAAAATGGTAAGGAAAGGATTTTTTATAAAAGATGTCTGTGACACTGCAGTTAGACTGGAATGCCATTTCTTGCTGATTCGCCGCTGGCTGAGATCAGCTTCATGGACTTTCAGCCACACTGTGTATTGTCCTCTGTGGATTGGATAGAATGCTAACAACAATTTCAGACCATTTTCATAATGGAGGGGTGCGCAGTGTCACCTGGCTAAGTGAGTTATATTAGTTTTCTGACCTAACCCTCCAAGTCATGATCCATTTGGTAACATTTTCAGAGTAAGCATACTCCACTTTGTGAATATGGCAAATTTTCCTCCAAACAGGTTGATGTCACTGAGGTTTTGTTGAACATATATCACAGCCTTCATGTCTATTTCACATCCGTCCACATGGAGACGTGTTCTCTTCATGACAATCTTCTGCAGAGTTTATAAACCTGTTATGAGGTGTTCTCTATGTCATCGCATGGGCTGCCTCGCTCTTGGCGAAGCACACAGTTCTTAAAGGTTTTTGTCCTGTGGTTGTCCAATCAGAACAATGTCAGAAAAGAGGTGCCTTTTCATTCTACTCTGCTAAAAAATGGACAGTGATGTGCTTGTTCAAGCAGGCTGGTCAGTGTTCTTCAAAATTAAATGCTGCTATCAGTATTTTAAACCTAATGATCTGGATGTATAGAAGGCCTTTCAGTCAAACTTTGGATAATCAGGTGTGTGCACACTACTTGAGCATCAAGCCCTAAATAAATTAATTGTCATTTCTGAGAAACAATTAAACTGAAATATATTCTGAATGATCATTAAAAGTAAAAATTTTTACTTTTTCTGAGTTTGGTAATGTATTCTAAGCACAGCATTACTGTGGTATACCTTTATTTTCTACACTCACTTGCTTTCAATCTAATAAGGACAATATCATTTGAGGGAATCAAATAAGTGGACTGTTTCCTTGTTCCTCCATAGACAGGGCAGAAATATCACAAAGTTTTGAAATTATAGGAGGTGGAACTAATGTTGTGTTCATTTTTAGGATGTGTTTTGTGGTTCTTACACTGCAGACTCGGGCAGTCTTTTCATGTCAATTAAACTCAGATTATATTCTCTAGTTTTCAGGTAAGGAGTAAAATTCTGTCAATGTGATTTTTTGTAGGTTTAAGACTTAAAATTAGAAATCCAGTGATAGATTTGCTATTTACTCATTCAGAGAGGAAAGACACTAACAAAGGCATTTATGTATAACTCTCTTGACATTCTTAGAAATGCAAGGAAGTAACATGAATAGATCTGTTTGGAACTTGGAAGAAATTCAGATGTGGATGCAAAACCTGCAGTCCAATCGCTAATGCTGTAAAACTGGAATGGCATATTATGGAATTAGCTCTTCTCCTTAGATCTAAGTCTATTTAAAAGTGATTTGTAAATGCCTAAAAAATATTTTAAAACTTTGAGGGAAAAGGAAGGTATGAAGTACTTAAAATTTGCAAAGGTCAGAAAGATTTCACACATAAAAGTACATTTCAATCAATTTCTTTTTGTATTCATCTTTCAGAGCTTCCCTTTCAAACTACTCTGACTTTCCCATTGACACTTTCCAGATTAACTTTTCTGCTGGTGTTACATCTGCAACAGAACTGCGTAGGACTATGGTATCAGCTCACCATAATTTGCATAGAAGAGCAAACTTGTTACACTTATAGACATTATAAAATTAAAGTACTTAAACCCATGTGGTTTGGTAATACTGCATTGGAAACGTCTCGGAATCATTTATAGTGTGACTGTGCTGAAATCAGAGTTCCCTAGTTGATGTGACATGATTATATGTTATGAGTACATGTGTTAACCTTTCAAAATAAAATGTTCGGTTTCTTCTTTTAAATACCAAATGCTTATAGTGATAATACTTGCTGATATTTGCTCACTGACAGTCTCACTTGTTTTCAAACCCCACACATTTAAAGTTGTGGAGTGTTAGATTGATGTTTCTTTCACTCAAATGTCATATTCATCAACTGTATTGTGCTAGCAGATTGTTAAACAGACAAGGTGACTTGCAGAGTGACAAGTGATGTGATGTCCCAAACCATTAAAATACAGTAATGATGTGTTTTTTTGCCTTTCGGCTTTTGCAACACAGTGGATTTTCTGTAAAACACAGGTGAGAACATTCCTGAGTAAATACATTGCATGGACAAATTCCTAGTTAATGAGTAACAAAACCTGGAAGTCAATTGGAGTCTCACAGATGATTGAGAAGTTCTGAAGACTTAGGAAAAAATAATGTAACGGTATTTATAATGAGAAAAAATACATTATGTTATAAGGAAAGTTAAATTGCTTGGTGCATTACACTGTCTTACATAATCAGTTTTGCAGTATTGTTTGGTTTTTTCTGCTATAATAAAAGCTATTTTATAATTTTACTTGAATAGCCTCCCAGGAATACCACAGGAAAGGACGGAACTTCTGCTTAACCTTATATCAACTCAAATGTCTTTCTCAACTTATCAAACTCTTCTTATTAATGGAGGAAAAAATTGAAGAGCTCTCTACAGAATTTCTGCTGCTGCCTTCATTTACAGAGAGGAATAAGAATGTTCAAGGTAATGAATGATTGTCCTGATTTATTGGTTTATTTTGTGCAAAAGAATAATTTTATGCTATTTTCAACATTAATTACCTAATTTGTGTCATCATATTTTTCAAATAAATGTGTTTCCATATCCATTGAAAAAGCTTTTGAAATGTGCAGATTTACATTTGAGCACAATGACTTGTAGAAAAGAACTGATTGCTGTGCATAAAGATGTGATGTACTAACTGTAGATATTGATGGAGAGCCATGATGAAAAACGATCAAACACTGCAACAAGATATCTCCTACTGGATTCTCTATAAAATCCTATGTCTCATATAGGACACAACAATACTCAGAGTCTGAATTCTTTGAAACTGACTTTTTCTGAACTTGTCCTTGAAAACTGCCTTTTTCAAGAGAGAAAAGCAAATATGTTAATATCAGTTTAGTTGATCTTAGTGTACGTGAAACTAACTGCTAAAGGATATAGTCCATGTTTAACCTGTTATTTCTCACACTTACTCATATTAACTGTGTTTACTAGCATGCTTATCTCACTGGCTTCAGTGAGATATGTTACAGAAGGAGGTTCTACATCAGTAAAATGATCCCGCTTCAAGTTTGCATTTGCTATAGGTTCAAAGCTCACTTTTTTTTCATCTAATTGTATTCAGTAGAACCAGGTATTGTGAAAATTCAGGTGAATAACACTTTCCAGGAGTATTCTCACAAATGTTCTACTCTGCTGCTTCTGCCAGTGGAGACTCCAAGCCATGAGAGAGAAGTGGTTTCAAGAGCTTTTATTTTATTGCAGAAAAATATCAGACCAGAAATGAGGCCAGGCTGCTCAGGGAGAGAGGATAGGTGAAATCAAATGTTCACTATCTCTATAGTCAAGCTTCAGGCTGAGGAAAAATGTGTTTTGGGAATGACGTAGTCTCAGAATACTACATTGATGAAAATAAAATATTAAATAACATGAGTTCTAAGGCACACAGTTTGTTGTTGTATTCTTCACCTGTAATATTGACACTCCAAAATAAAAAAATACAGGTTAACCTATATATTTTTAGAATATATGTCAAAGCTCTAATAAAATATGCATTCAAATTCCATTTTTGCTGACTTGAATGACTTCAGTGACTTCAATGTATTTCTACCTCCTTCACTCAGTAGTATTAATTCTCAAGAAATATTACACTATTATACATTATAATTTATGTTTTATGGACTTGATTCTACAAAGAGGTCTTAAAATAAACTTGTAGACTTTTCCTCATGTGTTGAGCAGGGTATGCACTCAGTAAGGACAATGGTAAATATACTTTTTATTACTGTATTATGTGAGAGAGTGTAAAAAAAATCAAGACATCTCAAATGGGAAATTTATTTGATATTTATATGATTATATTCTAAGGCATGTGGTCTCCAGTCATTCAGAGGACTTAACAATTTCAAGATTAGCAAGAAACATTTTGCTTTCCTGGAAGTAAAAATTATCCTGCTTAATTAATTAATAAATTTTTCTCCAAGCTTAATTTCATACAGAACTATTTCTCCAAAGAGTGTTAAGCCACTTTCTTTGAGAAGTATTCTTTTGGAGTAATCATGTCTATAGCAAGTTAATTCTTAATTGGTACCTGTACTTAAAATCTCAAATCTGAATGCGAAATATTATTAGATCTTGTAGGAGGCAGTCTTGTGGTAAAAGGTCCATTCCAGAAAAAACCATAGAATTCATTTTACCCTGAAAAACAAGAGAGGGTAAATATTTTTCAGATGCTTTTAATGAAGTCTCAGACATACTTTTGTTTTTAGAGTTGCTGTTGTGATCAGGTGATTCTATTCACGGAACTGTTCTCCATGATATGTTTACAGATAGTTTGTGGAAAGATATGTCCAGAGAAATTTTTAACAAGAGGTCTGAGTAGAAGAAAGGTTTATTTTCATATTGTTGGAAATCTCAGTTGTAGTGAAGTGAAAGATGATTTGATGTGGGAGAATGAAAGCTATGTTCCCAGTAGTTTCAGGTTATGTAAAGTACCTAAGAGAGTTTAAGATTTTCCCTGTTAATGTCCTATATTGGGTTGATAATTTTATTTTTTTCACTGATGATGGCCGAGTTTTTTTATAAGAAGTATTGGTTAAAATCCGTGTTTTATTTTCATCAGAACACATTGTAGCATATGACTAGACAATAAAATGGCCATCTTCAGTACTTATTTAGAAGCCTTATTACTAGAAATCTTGTTTAATTTGGCAGAGTCAAGATGTAGATGTGTCTGAAGCAACTTTAAATTAGCTTGTGTACAAAGGTCAGGTTCACAGTGCAGCACAGGCTGCAGAACCAGCCTAAGAAGCAGAGTGCATTAGCCCAAACTCAATGGAGTGCTGATGGTGCTAGAAAGTTACCCATACTCTCAATGGGTTCAGGCTAGGTTGGGTATGTCCAACCTACCCCTCAGTGTCTGCAGTGAGGGATATCTGAAGTGTCAGGGCTCTGCAAATAGTACTGCTGGCAAACTGAGGAAAGATGGCCAATTCATAAAAGGTAGGTGAATGTCCAGGTCGCCTAAAGTTTCCCTAGGCAATGCATAGACAGAAGCCTTGTACTTGTTTCCTTTATGCTTTCGTTGCTTTTAGTATTCATGAGAGACAATCTATGTAGCTCACACAGAGGTGCAACAAAAGTAATGGTTTTTTCTTGTGCTGGTGTCAAGTGGTGTATTTATGTGAATAGCTGTTTCAATGTCAATTGATTTTTTGTTTTATATTCTGTAGTACTTCAATTTTGGTATTTAGAACATGTATAAAGTTCCATCAGAAACAAAGTAGTTCTTTGGATGGTTCCTCTTTATAAAAATTTTTTTGTCCCAAAGATGGCATCTGAGTTTTATCTAAACCAGACGGTTTCTTGGCCCTCATTTTTCCCTAAACCCAGCAATGACAAAGAGCAACGGCTGCATAAATTGGATGTAAGAAGAACACTTAGGGTTTATCACAGAAGAATCAAAGATTTCATATCTTCTGACAGATTGTTTGTTCTCTTAGGGGGTCTTAAGAGGGGTCAAATGGCTTCTAAGAGTTGCTTAGCTAGATGGTTAAGGGATTGTATTAGAGAGGCGTATGTAGTTAAGGGTAAAGAGGCTCCCAGGGTTTGTAAAGCTCATTACACTAGGACTATAGCTGCTTCTTGGGCGGAGAGGTCGAAGGCTTCCACATTGGAAATTTGCAAGGTGGCCACCTGGGCTTCTCTTCTTACTTTTTCATTGCATTATTGCTTGGATGTAGTCTCTTCTGCAGATTCTGCTTTTGGTAGGAGGTTGCTTGTGAACCAAAAAAAGAACAGTGAAGAAAAGAAAGACATGTAGTTCAGAGTTCTAGCTGGCAACAAGACAAGTTTCTTTGCAGCGTGCACAATGGAATCCTATGAAGACCAATTTAGGCCGTTGAAAATAGATGTTAGAGGGAAGTACTGCCTACCAGTGTTCTCTGATGGTAACCCCATGGCAGACAATAGCACCAAAGGAAACAGTGAACCAGAGTGAACTCTGTAGGGAGATGGATGTAGAGAGTTTTTAGGTGATACAGATAGGTCTCTGAGTTCAGTTTGAGTTCTTTATCTGGCATCTTCTGGAATATATTCAGAATCCTCATTTTCACAAATTACTTTGCATAGATTGGAGAAAAAAATTCTCTGAATTGCATTTTCCACTCTTAACTTCTTTTCACTGTTCTTTCCAATTCTTCGTGATTTTATTTTTTGACTTTACCAGCAATAACTTAGTGTTCTTTAATATGTGTACATCAAGATTTGAGCTTATTTAAAACTGTATTTGTGTTATCTAAGCAGAGGTTTTTTAAAAGATAGTGTAAATACACATTTTATCTACTACCGATATGTTCTTCAAGTTTTCCTTTAAATCAAAATAAGGAGAAAATCATGCAAAGTTCTTGGACAAAAAAGTGATGGTATGGATTTGTTCCACCCCTTAACAGTAGTGTGACATCTGGGCAAGACTGCTACTCTGCCTTTCAGAGAATAGGTATCTGTGGTTTTTCTATAGCTTACAGGACATTAATTCACAATGATACATAACTTCATTCCACTACAGGCATTGGGTTTCATAAAATTATAGGAGTAACCATCCCCACTTTTTTCTGGACTATTTAACCCTTTCATCTGCTGGTATCTTGTCATACCTACTGTGATGAGATAGTCTACTTCAGTTGAGTAGTTTACATTCAGTTGAAATTAATGAGAAGTTCTAACATACCTAGTACTTCCAGCATCACAGCTTCTCTTTGAAGCAATCAGGAACATGATTGTCTACAATCAAGTGTTAAGCAAGAGACTTGGGTTTTGAACTCTGACAAATAGCATTCTCTTTCCATCTTTAAGTTAGATTTTTCTTTCCTCTTGGGTTTTCAGGAGCCTCTTGTTAAGACTTCTAAAAAATCAAAAATATCTAATGTGCTTTCATCTGTCTCACTTTTTTTTCCCCATTTCAGTGAGAAAGGTGAACTTGGGACAGATCAGATAATGAATACCAAGAAAGGCTTTCTCCAATGGAGTGCTTGAAAACACTGTGGGTGAAGTTGTCAAGTCCTTAGGTTTACAAGCTCTGTCGCAGGGGACTGGGAAGATTTGCAAAGGTCCTTCCTTCACACTTTAAAGAAAAATGCTTAACTCTATATCCATTTCTGGAAAGTGTAATAAATGGAATGTAGAATAAAATTTTTGAGGTACATCCTCCTAACAGACTTTTATTGCAAAGTTGCAGTATTGCAAAATTTGCAATTGTAGATTAAAAAAAGTTGTGATTTTTGCTTTGGTCTCAACATAAGACGTTCAAGTATCTTCTTTTACAAATACACAGCTTCAATCAATCCACAGCGATGATGAATTTTAACTAGGAGGACAATATTATTTCAGAGGTACATTTTCTGCATCTGGGTTAGTACAGTTTGCTCAGTACAGTACAACAAGTAAAAAGTTCATTATTGAAGATAGATAGCAGAAGA